TTGGAGAAAATGAACCAGATGTCTTACCTTTTTGTAATAATAATGCTTGCACAATATCCTCACAAACTTTCTTCTTTACGACACTTTTTTCTCGAAATTTAACACTTAATGAATCTATATATTTATCAAGATCACTATAAAAGAGTTTTTCACTATCATTAGGTTGAATAGTTGTTGTTGTCGTATTACACGCTGTCATTTTTTTTATATAGAACAAGTAACATGATCCTAATCGGTCCACACATTCTATTTATACTATTAGTACACAATGGTCAAATATACCTAGATTATTTTTTTCTCGAGTTATTCAGTTTACATTTGTACATGAATCAAGCACATGATCAGTTCTTTGTACGTGGATTCTTCTATTATTCTATTTATTTCTATTTCTGTTTCAATATCCAAAACATATACAATATATCGTCACCCTTGACCGCTATTTTCGCCTCTTTCCTTATTTCTACAAATACGTATTCGAAGTAACGTGAACCCTACTACTTCGACAATCATGCCACCTTTACGCGGTGAAGTGGATAAGTATCCTGTTCAGCAAAATGATTCATTACCCAACAGGAGAAACTAAGAGCATGATTTTAGCATATATCATCAATTTTGTGACTTCGTTAGCCATGATCTATGTTTTTTTCCATTCTAATTCCAATTTTGCCTAAATTCTAATTTTGCCTGACTTAGTCAAACTTAGAATTCTAATTTTGCCTAAAGAAACTCTAGTCAAAGTTAGAATTCCAATTTTGCCCAGGCAAATTCGGAATTTGCCTGGATTCCAAGTTTGCCTACAACATATATGCGATAACCAACTTTTCTTCTCGACTGCTCTCAACATGTAATGGGTCCGCCCGCTTTGTTGAATCAAATAAACTATGTTTAGATCAAATCTTTATACTATAAATTTCAAGGTTGTACATCTTGTTTTCTTGTTTGTTATTATCTTTAGTGTAGATGAGAAGTCAAGTTCATGAAGAGTCAAGAAGATTTTAGTGTCCACATTATGTTTTCTAATGTGTCACCTTCAGAAAAAAATATTGTAAGTTAAACAATTATTCTTTATATTTCAACTGTTCTATTATCTATACCAAATCTGGGGAAAATAATAGTGGTTCCTTTTGGTCCTAATTTATACACCCTTGTTATATGGCCAGATTTTTATCTAATCTGTCTTTCTTTCTGGGCGATATTATTGGAAATTTAGAAGTTTAAGAAAGAAAAATTTAAAATTTTCAAAAGATATTGGCAACTATAGGAACCATTCAGACATCATCCTCACACAGTATGAAATCAACGTTAGATGGTGTAGTATGGATATTTCTTAACAAAGAGTTTAAACTATCAGTTTTTTCGTACGTGTAAATATAGTAAGCAATACCGACGACAAAACACTTGCTCAAACACTTTTCTACATCACCCATACCTTGACTAAATGAAATTTCCTTTGCCTTTCCTATTCCTTTCCTAAATTCATTCCCAATCTCAGATTGGATATGAGACCCAAACCCGCGCGCAGGTCTCGGAAATCTGAATCGACAGTTCAATTCAGAATATTTTTCTCTTCATATACTGAATAAATCAGCTCCGACTTTTCTAATTTGTTTTACAGAGCGCTCGTGTCTACGTACGTTTATTTTATTTGTTTCGTACGCTGACCAATAGAAATCCAAGATGGCTGCCATGCCTAAAATTCTACGTAGAGCGAATGCTTTTCTCAAAAATAATGGAAAAACACGGAATTTCTTGCATAATTATTGAAAAGAAGTCCTACTTATAATTATTCCGGCAAATGCGACAGAAATAGACTTGAGCGCGAATCACAGACGTTCGTTTGGCGCCAAATCGCTCGAATTAATTATCTAACCTCGCGTTTAGTACTTCTGATGCATCCTTTCTATTCCTGGTACGTACTCATTATGAGTTAAACAATTCGCTTTTTTGCATCATGTTCCTGAAGAAAAAAAATTCCCTTTTACAAGGTATGTCTAGCTTTGGTTGACGCTAGAAAAACACTAAAGACCTTTAAAAAATAATAACTCCCTAGGCCATGAAAAAAATTGTAAACAAAGAGTGACGTGGACAGAGAATGAATCTGTGACTACTGGTTTTATGCGTAAATGCCTTTAACTAGTAGGCCATACACGTCATTGCTGAAAGCATTCGCTTTTATATAAAGTATCTTTTACAAATTTTATAATTCGAAATAATTTACTCTTTGACTTGAGATAGAGCTCCCCGAACCTTATTAAAAAATTATATGGTCTTATATAAAATTTTATACTTAACCCAAATTTCACCCTTTTAGTCACCGAAAATATACACTTTTCGAGATATCCTCATTTTACTCAGCTTTTCCAAAAATTTTAAAATTTGATTTTTGAATAAACTAAGAACTTTCAATTGCATACAGAAAAATGCACGAGATAAATTATGCCTTCGTACACTTCTTAACCTCATACCGCCACAAAAGCTGATTTTTGACCAGAAAAAAATTGTAAGGCACCAAAATTCTCAGTCACGTGGGAGCAAGCAGCTTCAGACCCAAAAATATTTCAAAACCTAAGAATTAAAATTCAAGAAAAAAACAATTTTTTTACTATTTTCAGTGACTGTGGCTAAGTGGAGTCGATTACACCATGTTTTACTCGGATTTTTCTTCGAGAACATGATGTCATTGGTCTAGCCATAAAGAATCTGTAATTACAATAAAATTTAGTACAGTAAAAAGCTAGAAAACGAGAAAACCCTACTGAAACTTTTCTATCTCTCTTGACGATCTGAGCTTCGAAGAAGAACTATTGTTGTTTTAATCTCCAGAGTCATGCTTCGAGTTGCAAAGTTAGCAACTGAATCCGTGAACACTAAAAAGCTTTTAGAGGCAAGAAGTACCTTTCCAAAGAGATTTTGTGTCCGTTGGGAGTCTGATTTCACCATATTTTACTCGGGCTTTTCTTCGAGAACATGATGTAATCAAGTTCACAGGGATATCTCACAGATGTCTTGTGAATCCGATAGTAAAAAAATTTTCTGTAAAATGTGAAGATCAAAGTGGAAAAACTTTGGTTCAATCTACCACTCGTAATCCACTCATTCTTCAACCCAAACGACTATTTAATACGACGGATCATGAATCGAAGTAAAACGTCGCTGCAGAATCTTGTTCTCCCACTAAAGCAATGAATGAATTTTCAGGGAGGAAAAGATTGTTTGATATTCACAGTTGTTAAAGAAAAATATTGACTTTGTAACAAGAAATATGGAAATACTCTCGTATATATACTCATTCTGCAAATTACTGGTATTGTTGGGTGATCCTACTTTGTAGGATTTAAAAATGAAGTGCTAATATAGAAATGGTTTGAGTATAACGTTGAGAAAGTAAGAAATACCTTGTAAATAAAGGATACTGTTTTTCTTTGCATGTCCCATTTAGGGTAAGAGTGAAAAACTACAGATATATTCAATCACACATGTTTTACTCGGTTTTCTCTTCCGGAGCATGATGCAATTTACCTCAAGCTCAACCAGAGATTGGACTTCAAATCAGTACACAGCAATTTTATTTCCGC